ACCCTATACTCATGTATCTTCCCCGAAATTCATTTTTTTTTAATTTATAAAAAATCTGCGCATGTTTGCGGGGCGATAAATTTTATAAAAATATAATCTCAAACCCCTCCCCCTCACCCCCCTAAATTTTCATCCCTCCGGACATAGGCGGGTGTCTTCAACCCCCCGGAGAAACCGCATACTCATGTATTTTCCCCGAAATTCATTTTTTTTTAATTTATAAAAAATCTGCGCATGTTTCCGGGGGCGATAAATTTTATAAAAATATAATCTCAAACCCCTCCCCCTCGCCCCCCTAAATTCTCATCCCTCCGGATATATGCGGGTGTTTTCAACCCCCCGGAGAAACCGCATAATCATGTATTTTCCCCGAAATTAATGTTTTTTAATTTATAAAAAATCAGCGCATGTTTCCGGAGAGGTAAAATTCATAAAAATGTAATCTCAGACCCCTCCCCCTCACCTCCCTTCAATTTTCATTCCTCTGGATATATTGCGTCTATTTTTCACAGATAACAAAACCGAGCGTGTGAATAAATTAATTTACTTATTGAATTAATTAATTTTTTAATTCGAAAATCAATGCATAAGCAGATAGTTGTTTAGAACATTATTTTCAATTGTTTTTTCAACATAATTTAAAATATATATAATGTTCATATAAATTCTGCCCCCCCCCCCATTAACGGGTGAAAATCTCAACCCTCCGTATACATACCCTTCACCCCACTTCTCACAAAGTTCAAAATTTTTAGATTCCATTATTTTATTTATCTAATTATTTGATGCCCCTCTTCGCCCCTATTTGACACGCAGTATTCTCCTCCTACATATCTATTTGCGATAATATTGTTCACGTAGGGCAATTGGGTCAGAACAGAATTAAACTAATTTAAAAAAATGCCAATATGAACCTATTGGATAATCAATTTTCTCCCGCCACTGCTGCCGACTTTATCGGCCTGGGCGAGAAGTCGACACTGCCGCCATCCGGCGGCGTTCCCCCTACTGATTTATTTTCCCTTTCAATACGCAAGCTATTATTTTCCTTAATTAATGGAAACTAATGTCATTAAAGCTACTAAAATTCATTAATAATTCATAGATTTACATCCATGATCGTTCCAGGTATCATTTACCCTTTTTTACACCAAAACAAGTAGCCACCTAACAGCCACCGAATTAGGTGGCTGTTAGGTGGCTATTTACTCCCTAGGGGGCCCCTACATCCACGCTATTCCGGGCATCCTAAATCGCTCATTAATGAGACCCTGGAGGTACCTGAAGACGTCCAGGTGGACTGCACCAACTCCGAAAGGTCGGAATTGGCTCAAAGTCTCTGAGCTTTCATGCTCGATTGGGTAGTTCCGTAGCATCCAGGAGAGAAGTCGTGGTGCATCCTCTGGGGAGCTCTCCCTCAGGCACTTGTGCCCCAGGGTATCCTGCATTCCCATTCGAACTTCGCTATGCCAGGTCTAAACGATGCTCATGTCGTCGATGAGCTCAGAGTGTTTTGTCATGCCGAGAATCACGAGGTGGACAGCAGACTGGCTCCTTCGGATTTTCTCTTTGAGATTATCTCCTTGTGCTCGTAGCTCTTGGAGATGGAGAGGCGTCGGGGCTCTCCGCCGATGCTCGAGTAGAGGCTCTCGGAGGTCTACAGGCAGGTTGTGTGCAGGATTATCGTGAATATGTGCAGCGGCTTTCGCATTTCAATCAGTTTGATGTTGTAGAGCTTGTGCAGGTACTCTTCAGTGATCAGGTGGGACTTGGAGGCTGCACTCGTGAACTTCAAGCGCTCTATCTGCTCCAAAGTGGAGGCCAGGAAGGTCTTCAGGGGGTTCTCCTCGAAGAACTTGGAGACTTACTTCAGATAAGGGTGATATCCAGGTCCCCGTGACAGACATAACCTAGACAATGGTAAAGAAATAGAAGGGGAAGACTCGGTCACGTGCCTGTAGAACAATATTGCGGGCATTCTTTTTTCATTGATTATCAATACAATATTAGTTTTCCAAATGGGAAAAACATTTCCACTATTATTTTCAAATAGTTTCACAACCATTGAAGTATTTTTTTTTAATTTTGATTAATGTTTGCCAAGTATACGGTTCAACAGTTTTTCGATAATTAAAAAATAACTATTTGTTTCCAAATTATGAAAATGCTTTTCGAAATTTTTCCAAATTATTTCTTAATGATTCTAATCATTATTTGTAAAAAATCTGGAATTTGTTCGCCAAGTATACGGTGGTGCCAACTTCATGGACTGGCAGAACTTTTTTTGACCACTGTACAGTTGTTCCAGAGATAATAGGGGAGATTGCTCAGGCTTATGGGAACTGTTCGATCAGAGTTTCATAGCGGTGGCGCGCATGAACTAATCGAGAGGCAGTCTCGGTGGGTAAAGAAATTTTCATCTATTACCATGGAAACAGTCGATAACAGGGATGCTTTCCCAATCTTAAATCCAATATGAAACCTTTGCATTCACTCAACCGCTTGATTATCCCATTTTCGTTCATACAACTTCTTATTGTCTTAATTTGTAAATTAGTTGATCATAAAGGAGAGGGAGAGAAGGAATTATGAAGTCTTGAGCGAAAGAGGATCATTTATTTGAATTTCTATACAACTTTCTATACAACTAGATCTTTAATCAAAAAATACGAGCAATTCAT